TCTCTTCAATTAATCAACGCTTGGAGAAGATGCCTTGTTACTGGTCATGCTCGTGATTTTTGGAGGATTGTCCCACATTGTGTTTGGTGGTGCATTTGGAGAGAGAAATAACAGAAATTTTAAAGGAAATGAACGTCTCTTGCAAACTTAAAATCTCATATTCTTCGTTCTCTCTTCTGTTATGTAAGAGGCAGCGCTTGCTCCTCGATTGATGATTTATTTGATCTATTGGACTCTGTTGGTCCTTAGGTCTCTCGCTTTTGTGTATTAAAGACGCGTTCCCCATTTGAACGCTTTTCTAATATATTTTTACTTATCAAAAAAAAAAAAATTTAATCCAACTGCTGATGTAAACAATGTGTTCATGGCTAGTCTCATGACTTCTAAGCTTGTCACTAAGATTTTTACAGTCTTTGACTCGTTCATTTGCCAAATGAGTTTTTCGCCATATTTAAACAACTTACAATAAAAGCAAAAGACTTATCCAAAGAACTTGAATAGATTAGCCATCTCCTATCGTGTTTTTTACCGTTTGACAAGTGTCAAATGTAATATGTAGAACATAAATGTCTATTTTTTTGAATCCTTAAGAAAATCTTCAAGTTTAGCATCTCTTGTAGGACCTCTTTCAACTAATATATCTCTCAATTTTTTATCAATCTTTTTCCAATTTTCTGGATCATTAATGTTCAAAGGAACATTCTCATTCATATGTTCTTCATTTACCAAATCTTCATGTTCATTCACATTTTCTTCATTTTGATTCTCATTTTTATGATCTTTATTCATTAAATCTCCATGTTCATTCAGATTTTCTTCATTTGCATTCTCATTCCTATGTTTTTTATTCACCAAATCTTCAACTAAACTATCTGTTTTGTGTATTGCTCCTAAAAAAACTTATGAATAGCTTCTTTTTGAGATTAAATCAATTCTTTTTCTCTTATTTATTTATTTTTATTTTATTTTTTTGACCAGATTCAAATTTTCTTGTAGATATAATGAAATCTAAATAATAGGAACCACAATCAACATAAAACTAAACTTCAAAAATAAATAAATAAATTGTTTTACTAAAAGAAAATATAGATACCTCAATATGCAATGATTTGATTCGGGTTCAAGGCATATAACCTCACGAGATCCTAAATATGCATTGCCAAACAAGAAAGAATATGATTTAAATTACCATTTGAATAAAAAATGCATTGCCAAACAAAAGAGGGAAAAAAAAGTATATATTAAATCAAAAATCAAATACTAACTGCTAATTTGCTAAACATAAAGACATAAAGTATACAACACATATAATATAATTTGTTTCAGTTTTTATAAAACGGAATTTTGTTTTATGTGCTTAGTAGACGATTTCTGAAAACTAATTTCTGAGTTACTTCACGGTTTTTGAAAACTCAATTAAAAAAAGGTTCTTTTTTCAAAAAGCCCACCTTTTTAATCTCCTAAAAATAGGTTTATGAGTTTTCGGGAACTATTGTAAGTAAACTGACCAGAGCCGACCCTAGATTCTTTAAGGGACAAGTAAAATGGAACAAGAAATAGTATGTATTTTGCATTTATTATCACAATCAAGATCATAAATTCATAATCAATCATGCTTAATGTTCTAATGATGCTTTGCAGGAGCTAGAGAGAGAAAATCAGAAGTGAAATAGCAATTAGAGAGAGAAACAAATAACACATACCGTCTTCTGCTGCTACTACTACTACAGTCGGTCTGATATGGGTTTTGATTCTTGAAGAGAGATAATGAGAGTTCAGAGTTGCACCAAGCAAGCTTGAGAACGATAATGGAGGCGAGGATAGCACAAGCAGTGTCGTCTGCACAAATTTGTCCTTTTCTTGGGCCCATCATCCATGGGCTTGCTAAATTTGAGGCCCTAGGTGACCTCCTTGGGTAAGCCCAACCCGCCTAAATTTTTAAAAATTGTTTTAAGCCCAAAATCACTGTAGCCCTTAGCCTATAATTGGGTTAAGAGCATGTTTGGTTGGAAAAAATATTTCAAAAACCTGTGTTTTGGGTTTTTTTGGATAACTGTTTGATTGACATAAATAATGACTTAAACGCTTTTTTTGGACAAAAAAAAAGTAACAAAAGAAAAGAAAAAATAAATGCTTTTTAAATAAGAAAAAAAATTATTGTATATGATTGTTCTGTATAAACTTGTCAATAGAGCAGATCTTGTTCTGAATCCGATCCGATTAGTAAGATATGGATTAAACAAAAAAATTCGATAACTCTATTACTATCCAAATCTGATAATCCGTTAGCTTAACAAATCGAATATGGATTATGCTGATCCGATCCAATTAAAATTATATATATATATATATATATATATATATATATATATATATATAATCATTTATCAATAATTTTACATATTTATATCAATACTCCTATTAGAATGGTATAGGTAATTGAAAAATCCAAAAAAAAAAAATCATATTGTTATATATACAATAGTATGGTATTTTCATCCACATGTTAATAAATCTCTTAATATAAATACTAATAGTGTAATGTTCTCTCGTCAATGTTATATATATTAGTTATATATTATTAAATTTATATATATTAATTATTTATCATTATATTCATTTGGTTACATAGATGTAGTATTCTTTATATTAGCAATTCTCCACTTCATCTAACTTTATAATTATATATGTTAGTAAATATGATTTTAATCCGGATTCGAATCCGATTCCATCTGAGTCAAAGCTAAATAGAATATGGATTGGGACATTCAGTCCGGGAACCTGTTAGTGATCCGAATCTGATAATCCGTTTGCTTAACAAATCGGATATGGATGATCCGATCCATTGACAAACCTAGTGCCATATGATTTTTATTTTAAAAAAGGAAAAAAAAAAAAAAAAAAGTGTCATATGATTGTTATTTTTTCTAATTCATTTTAATAATGGTACTGTATTGTTTATTTGAAAAGAAAAAAAAAAATCATATAGTATTGTATTGTTTTAAATTTTTTTATTCATAATAAATATTATATTGTTTAATAGTTTTTGTATGATATAGCTCTTATAGGGATAATACTTGCCTACTCACCGATAAGTAGGGAGTTTTTATGTACTCAATAGGTGGCATAATAAAATTATAACAAGTGTTTCAAAATTTATAAAATATAAAATATAACAAAAATAGAACCATAACGCATTTAATCTATTTTAATCGACTTAACCGCATCTTTCTCTCCATATATATCTATACACACACTTGTACATACATATGTACAAAATTGGCTTTTAAAGTAGAGAGAAATTAGGATTCAAGTTTCCTAAAACAATACTTACTAAAAACAAGATATTCCTAAAACAATATATTATTTTTGTTCATCGAAATCAAAAGAATAAAATTTGGGTTTCACCATAGTTATACAAATATAAATACGCACACACACATATATAAACAAAAATCATGTTATTAAAATACCCATTTACCTCCACTTCCAAACTAATCATCATTCTCACTGCAACAATCCTAAGTTGGACAAGAGAAAGGTAAGAAATTTTTTTTTTCTTTTTTTAAAGCACAAACCGGAGTCATTTAATGATTCTAGGATGTACACAATGTGCTACAGAAAAATTGTGTTGTATCATATCACATATGAGACAAAAGATAATGTTAATCCAATAAAAAATGGATCAACCCAGTTCTAATTCTATTTTTTGTTATATTTATATTTTATAAATTTTAGGACACTTGTCATAATTTTATTGTACCACCTACCTAGTCAATATAAATTTTCTACTCATCGGTGAGTAGGCAAGTATTGTCCCCCTTATAGCAGTCAGGAATAAAATATTAAAAAAAATAATTTATGAAATTTTTTTAAATATTTCAAATTTTGGAAAGCAAAAAGACAACATTGGAGTATACTTGAAATTTAGATAGTAAGGGTCCATTTGGATGGCGATAACGTTATATGTTATGGTTTGGTATGATATGAAAACAACCGTTTTGGTATTGGTATGTTTTTAGTAGAAATCGGATCCATATTTGGTAACGATTGTTTTGTTTTTGATAATTGTATATCAGAAACATGCTAACGCGTTTGATATTATCATGCGTTTTAAGGAATCCGAAAACAAAACACGTTTGGGAATAATGTTTTGTTATTAAAAATTCTGAATCAATAACAGAATACCTGTTTGGTAAAGACTGTTTTGTTTTGTTTTGAAAAATTATATATATGAATACAATTATTAGTTTATATGTAAAATAGTTCATTTTTCTTTATGATTTGAGATAATTTGTGGAAAATAAAATAAAATTCTGCATTAGAGTTGGGAATTTTTTTTTTTTGTTAAATTTACATGTATAATGGCAACCAAACTACTTTGTAATAATGAATAAATCTGCATAAACATGATTAATGGCAACCAAATTACAAATCTAACTTTGTAATAATCTTTCAATGAGAGTAGATCTTTACACTCCATTTATCTTTTTCTTTTGGCTTGCGTTCCATTTAACTTTGTTTTGTTTCATATATATATATATATATATATATATATATATATTCATGATGAATGTGAGAGAGAGAGAGATCCTTGTAGTTGAAACAAACAAGAAACAAAGCCAAAACGTTAATCGTCTTGAATTGGTCATAGTTGAAATTTGGTGAATATTGAAGCTTGTGAATAGTTTTACTTCACTTAGATTAGTTTGAAATTTTGTAGTGGAGGTCCTTCAAATTGGTAATATTTTTTTTTTTGTTTAGTCATAAGACCATTTCCCCTTTTGTTGAGTATTAATTTTGATAACGGACTTGTGAATAATTCATACAATATCCAACCATAAGCAGAATTGATAAATATGAATAAAGATTAAAAGCAAGCAATCAAGGAAGATCCCTCTTACAAGACTGAACAACATTCACATATATAATAATTGTATAGTTTTGCTTTATACATCACAATCTTAAGAACTTGAGTGTTGCACCATTCACGTATATACTTCCATATATAAGGAGCTAGACATTCCTTTAAAATAGTATGTGTGTACACACACACTTCATTACACTTACATAAAATGTACACATAACTGGAGATCACTAATATTCATTCCATAAAATGTACACCCACTTTTTTATACTTGCATAGGCCTCCATTTGATTAACTTAGAGATCACTAGCTTTCTGGAGTTGCAGCAACTGGAGAATGCTTCCTATCAATCCCACTGGTGCCACTGCCTACAACTTACTGCCATGTCCTTCAATGTAGTAGCAAAAAATGAATTTGAATGTAAAACAAGACATTACCTATAGTAGCAAAATATAAAGCAGAGTTAAATTCAATTTTTATTATTTTTTTTAAAAAAAATCCGGCATGACTTCCCCTTAAAAATGGACATTTCCAAAATTTCAAAACACAATAAACCCAAGGGACACTGCCCACAAAATTAATTCAATAAGGGACACCGCCCACAAAATTCATTTAACAAGGGACACCGCCCACAAAATTATTTCAACAAGGGACACCACCCACAAAATTCATTTAACAAGGGACACCGCCCACAAAATTATTTCAACAAGGGACACCACCCACAAAATTCATTTAACAAGGGACACCGCCCACAAAATTATTTCAACAAGGGACACCGCCCACAAAATTATTTCAACAAGGGACACCGCCCACAAAATTCATTTAACAAAGGACACCGCCCAAAAAATTATTTCAACAAGGGACACCGCCCACAAAATTCATTTAACAAGGGACACCGCCCACAAAATTATTTCAACAAGGGACACCGCTCACAAAATTCATTTTACAAGGGACACCGCCCACAAAATTATTTCAACAAGGGACACCGCCCACAAAATTCAATTAATAAGGGACACCGTCCACAAATTTAATTCAAGCAAGATATATCTAACCTTCTTTCAGGCTAAGCTGCAAATTTGGAGTGTAAATGACCTCATGCAAAACAAAACACATGAAGAACATTAGAGAAAAACAAAATAACACACGGTAGGAATGAAATAATTAGAAATAGTAAACAAGATATATCTAACCTTTTTTCAGGCTAAGTTGCAAATTTGGAGTGTAAATGACCTAATGCAAAACAAAACACATGAACAACATTAGATAAAAACAAAATAACACGCGGTAGGAATGAAATAATTAGAAGTAGTAAATAAGATATATCTAACATTTTTTCAGGCTTAGTTGTAAATTTAAAGTGTAAATGACCTCATGCAAAACAAAAGACATGAACAACATTAGAGAAAAACAAAATAACAAACGGTAGGAATGAAATAATTAGAAGTAGTAAATAAGATATATCTAATATTTTTTCAAGCTTAGTTGTAAATTTAAAGTGTAAATGACCTCATGCAAAACAAAAGACATGAACAACATTAGAGAAAAACAAAATAACACACGGTAGGAATGAAATAATTAGAAGTAGTAAACAAGATATATCTAACCTTTTTTTTTTTTTTCTCTAATGTTGCAAATAGAGTGTAAATGACCTCAGTAGCAAATTTTATAAATACCCTAAAGCTCACTCCCAAAATGACAGAGAAGATAACACAACAGCAACTAATACGCAGTTCAAAATATACCATTTAAGTATATATTACATACCAAATGAAACACAGAAAATTAACTAAATACGTATTACATGTCATATATTACAAAAGATGGAAGTTTATCTAACTTCATCTTTCAATAACAACAATAATGAGCAATAAGAGGACAATCACAATAAACATGATTGTGATAGCAAGACATCCACAACCTAGGAAGAGCATGTACTTCTGTCTACATTGTTCATTTTGAATCATTGCAATGACTCTGTCCAAGTCAGATTGAACCTGTTCTTCAACTTGTGCACCTTGGTGCAACTCATCCACCCACATAAATGCATTCATATGTGACTACAAGAAATATAAATTATACAATTAGGAAACAGTAACAGAAATAGCACCTAAAAGTAATTGACCATACCTCCAGAGCTGGACACCTATAGAATTGTCGACCATCATTTTTTGGAGTTCGAGCCCTATACAGATGCACAGGACCTCTACCACATGCACATTGTGGTCACTCACCTTCAAGCCTATACATAAGTGCGCCTACAAGTACTAAAGCATTTAATATTTGATATCCTAATATAATTAGTTATTACAGTTATCCATAAATAAGGAGCATCCGAGTTTAATTTACGTAATATAATTAGTTATTACAGTCATCCATATTTTAATTTTACACACTATTAGACAGTTTTATAATTAGTGATTACAGTGCTCCCAAATTAGGTTGGCAATACCATCACGATAAATATCCATCTGTCGTATCTGTGTATTAGTAGTACTGACCACCTGAACATCGTCATCCACATCAGGTTCATTTTGTGAAGATTGAGGGGTTTCAGAATAAAAAATTTCATCAGATTCACCTTGGGATCTTATGAAATTATGCAATGTACAACAGGCAATGACAATAAGAACTTGAGTGTCAAAGTGATAAGGGGGCATTTGCTTCAATATAGCAAATCTCATCTTTACCAACCCAGAACATCGCTCTATGATATTCCTCAATGACGAGTGCCTAAAATTGTACACCTCTTCTCTACCACGTGGTCCTCTAGTATGTCTACGATATTCCTGCATATGGTAACGTTGACCTCGGTAAGGGCCCAAAAACCCCGGTTGATTGGCGTACCCAGAGTCGACTAAATAAAACTTACTTGTCATGTTAAGTATGTTAAGTATTAAAATTAACGTATTTGTAATGTTAAATGCACAAATATGCCTTCGGGTGGTGATGGAAAATTGAAATCCTCATTCTGAATGCACTCATTTAAAATCTTCGAATCATTAGCAGACCCTTCCCACCCAGCTAGAATGTATGTGAATTTCATATCAAATGAACACACGGCCATGACATTTTGGGTCGTATCACCCTTTCTACCATGAAAGGGTATTTGTTGGTCAGCTGGCACTACAGCATGGATATGAGTACCATCTATGGCTCCTACACAATTCTTAAAGTATGGGTAAAACTTTTGATTGTTCTTTATTTCTTTAGGAATTTCATTCAAATCCGAGGGAACAATAATCTTAGTCCCTAACTCACAAATTAACTTTAATACAGTATGAAAGTGATACGAAATTGTGGATGTAGAGTGTTGGAATATTTCAGCAACGACACGATTCCTTTCATTGTGAGACACAGTAAGTAGGAAAATTGCAACTTGTTCTTCTACCGTTAGAAATTTTGAATCTTTCAATCCTAACAATTTCAACTCACGACACAATGCCCTAAAGGTGTTGGGGTACATCCGAAAATTTTCATAACACCTATCTTCATGTCCATTTAAGACCTCGAATATGTAATCTTCCCCTTGTAACATAGAATCCCTATAACGTTGTTTATCAAAATGTTTATAATAGTACTCATATACGGCTGCGATCAATACAATAATTTCCTCCTCATCATTATCATCATAAATGGTTAATATTGTCCTTATATCCATAGCTACTATCCTATTTAAGAATAAACAGAAGCAGTTATTGTAACAAAAATTAAGCAAAATGGAAAAGACATACCAAATCATACAATTATCCAGCAACAATGTAAAAGCAATAAATGTAGAACATAAATAGTTTTCCAGCATTAATTTAAAAGCAGTAGATAGAGGAATTAAATACAGTCTTCCAACAATAATGTAAAAGCAGTAGATAAGAAAAATTCATTACAGTCATCCAACAGTAATGTAAAAACAATTATAAAACAGTCATCCAAAAGCAAATAAAAGTAAGATACCGAAGAAATCATAAAGGCTGATTCATCACCCACCCAACCTTCCTTTCATCAGGAATGCGAAGAAATATGTCCCTCCACACCTTGTCCTCACCAAACATCCTTATGATCTTAGCATAATGGGTATCATCAATCCTCACTAATGTGTTGACGATCTTAACGCACTCTTCAAGCTGGGGATCCATTTATTTTTCTTTTTTACTAGGAGATGTCACTTTAGACATTTCGGTAAATCGAGATGGTTGACAATTAGAAGATGATTCTGCTATGGCTTTTGCAATTTTATCAGCTTTCGCGTTCCCAATATTAGTCAAACATTCCATCACTAAAGACATTGTTTCGGAAAAAAGTTTATTTCTTCTGTTTCTTAGCTACAGGTTTGGGAGTAAGACTGAGGTCAATAGGTCCTTCTACATTAGGTCGTTCTACATCAGTCATGCCCACATTGCCCTCAGTGTTATGAATTTGAGCTTCATGTGTTGCCACTTGAGGCATTGTTAGCACTTGGTGAGGTCTGGGTGGCTTTGTAGAAGGATAAACATGCTTGCCAGTAGCATGTGTATTCCCAAAAATCCTTACCATCTGCTCATAATTCTTACACCCCTGTTTTTTTATTTTTTTTCTATGCTTGAGAACCTACACGTTATCAGCTTACAATTATTGTTCATTAAACCCTTTTAATACTAAATCACTAATTACTTACTATATGTATGGTAAATAGACACGTATTAAAATACTAACCTTGCACAATCGAACCCATCTTTCAGCTTCCAACTCAATCATTCCAGTTTCACTGTTGTACCCTACACTAGTCTCAGAAAATATTTGTTTGCAATCTTTGTACAATGCTCTTATATTATTGAATTTTTGTCTACATTGGTCCTTCGTGTACTTCTTTCCAGTTTCCAATAACATTGCGTCCATAATATGTGTCCACCCATTTGGATTAAAAGTCGTACCTGTACGATTTCCTTTTCCAACCTCTTCCTCCATCAAGAGCATGAATTTCTCTTGATGGGCATCACACCAAACAGCGGCATCGGCCTGTTCAACAACTACAACATCCTCACCATTGTCACCATCAAGAGAATGAATGTCTCTTGATGGGTATTGCTCAACATTGTCATTGTTCATGTCCATCTGATTATTATTAAGTAATTGAACAGTTTAGTACATTGAATTGTGTTTTGACTCATAATTCAATACGTCAATGATAAGTAAAAAAGATACTGTCTATAAAACACTTCAATAAGGGGCAAAAAAGAAGAAAAAATGAATGTAAAAATGTGATAAAAATTAGTCTCCTTCCATTTTCTTCAGTTCAAATTCTCACCATTTTCTTCATTTTCTTCAGTTCAAATTCTATTTGTCAAAATCAATTAAATCAACCACATGATTTTCTTAAAAATCAGTCTCCTTACTCAATTTCAAAGGCAATTTCTATATAAGCTAGGTGATTCAAATTGGATAAGTTTCCATTTCTCTAGTTGATGTTCTCCTAAAGGTTGAGAAGAGCAGTGATCTCGAAGGCCCATATCTGTCAAAGTATATGATTTCAAATCTTAAAACTCTCTCAACGTATCAGATTCAAGGTAATGCAACTTATTCAAGGTAATGCAACTTATAATCTCACATTTTATTGTGCCTGGTAATTGCATAAAATACGAGGATACAAAAATCTCACATCTAATTACAATATAAGAAGGCCGGATAGGGATTGTATGACATAAAGTTAGGTATTTTATTTTTAATCTCATGCTTATTTCTAATTTATTAATTTAATTGAATCAGACAATTTATATTTCTAAACATCTCATATGATCTCAGCTACTAATGAAGGCTAAATTTCCAAATAATTGGTTTGAATGTTACTTTATAAATTTTCATAAGTTGCTGAAATAGGCTTTACTTTTTAGCTATAAAATTAAAATTGAGTTATGAAATTATGCACTCCCATTTCTATATACACAGAATTATTCATCACTTTGCAGAGAATAAAACTATATCTAAATTTGGATTATGCTACTGTATTTGCTACTGAAAGAATATGGAATTGTGAAACTATAGTTATGGAACTAAATCTGGAATTTTGTTAGTGTATATATATATATATAGAGAGAGAGAGAGAGAAAGAGCACCTGAAAGAATCGCCCTTGACGAAATCGATACACATAATGTATGACCTACCGACGCTTCGTTCCGCTTTGCTAACGCTCGGCTAAAAGTCTTGAACCTTAGCGCATTCGCTTTCTCAGTAGCAAACAACAGAAATTTCTAGAGAAGAAGCGTTGATCTGTGGTTGCGAAGAACTTTAGGGTTTCAGATTCGGGTCACACTCCATTTAACAGAGAGACGATTGAGCTGAAAACCAAGTACGGGAGGATTGATCGATCTGTAGCCTAGCAACGAAGGTGTAATGAAAACGAAGAACAATCGGCTTCAGAAATCGCCTCCAAAGGAGTTGCGCGATGAGAGAGAAAATGATGATGAAGAATAATCTAGGGTTTCAGATTCGAGGTCACACAAATACATAATAGAGAGACGATTGAGCTGAAAACCAAGTATGGGAGGATTGATTGATCTGTAGCCTAGGAATAAAGGTGTAACGAAAACGAAGAACAATCGCCCATGAAATCGCCTCCAAAGGAGCTGCGCGATGAGAGAGAAAATGACGATGAAAAATGGCTCGGTTCTGATATGCGATTTTTTATACTTGATATCACCGCTACAGTTAAATGAGGATTGATATGGTTTTGGGTTGGTATGGCCGCTACAGTAAACCATATCACCCAATATCACCAATTCTTTGATATGGGTTTTGGCCCAAATTTCATAATGTTTTTACATTGTTCAATACCACATCAACCCACTCCAAACACGATATTGGCCCAAAAATGAAACCAAAACATGAAAATAATAATGAAAGGACTCTTTTGTTAGTCGCTATATTTTAGACTTTCTAAAAAAAAAAAAATCGAAATTTGTATCATTAAAAAAAATAATAATAATAAAACTTCTCAAAATAAAGTATTTGGTTGAAAGGAAAATTTTCAAAATTCAGGACTCAAATTGAAAAAAAGTTCCTTCTGGTCGAAGGAGAGAGAGAGTTGGGTACTTCCCACTTGGTAGTGGAAAGCATAGCGTTTTTCTGTTCACCATCACCCTCAATTTCAAAAGTTAACTTTTGATTCTCCTTCCGCCGAAACCCTAATATACATACATTCATATCTGCATTTATTATCTATACATTTATATACATCTCAGTGTTATTTCATTTCCAAGTCTCTCTTTAATCTGGAATTCAACTTGTGCTCTCCTTCTATTTCTCTCTCTTCTTCGATCTGTTTTTGGTTTCGATCAGAATTCTCTCTCCGTTGATTCGTTGATTAAGCGAATCAATGGAAGCGATCGAAGAATTGGCCAAGCTTTCCGATTCGATGCGACAAGCAGCTGCTTTGCTTGCCGATGAAGACATCGACGAGCATTCTTCGAGGCGACCTTCCACGTTCCTTAATATTGTTGCTCTCGGCAATACGGTGAGCTTGATATGAACCGATGCTATTTGTTTGAAATTTGAATTGATTGAATTTGTTGATTGTTATGCTTGTGTAGTTGAATTTCTTGATTTGGGGTATGGATCTTTTGATCTAGTTGTATTTGCATCGTGAATTTGAAATAATTTTTTTAAGTTTTAAAAATATAAAAATGGTGAATTTAAAAATATCATTTAAGAATTTTTTTAAAAAATATATTTATTGTTCATCGCACCAAATTTGATACATAAACGAGATATCAAAGGTTTTATTTGTCTCATTTAGAGTTATAGTTAAGCCCCTATCAAAATGTTTTCATAATTTAATTTTTTTTTATCAATGGCCAACTAGAATTTTGATGTTGAAAAATGGGAAATTCATTTCGGACAATTGAACCTTCCATCAAAAATATTTGTACCAAAATAACATATGACATAGGACACGTAATGAAGTTAGCCAAAAGCAGCATGTCTAAATATAAAATCCATTAAAAACAAAGTGCAGTTTATTTTTGTGTTGTTTTCTGGACATCACAAAAAAAAAAAAACATGTACTCCGTCAAATGTAGTACGTGTTTTGTGGATAGCACGTATTTTATTATTCTAATGGATTTTATAATTTTAAATATAAAATTCAACTCTTTAGCCTAATTACATTAAAAAAATAAAATAAAAACAAAGAAACAAATGTCAAATGACCATCTCTGAATTTGAAAGGTATCGTTTAAAATTTCCAAAATTTCCTTTATTTTTTTTATTCTTCTTAATTTCTCTGTTTTTTTTTTTGATAAGTAAAAATATATTAGAAAAACGTTCAAAGGGGGAACGTGTCCCTAATACACAAAAACGAAAACGAAAACGAAAGAGCAAAAGCCAAATCTACGGACCAACAGAGTCTAATAGAACAAAAAAATCATCAATCGAGGAGCAAGCGCTGCCTCTAACATAACTGAAAAGAGAGCGAAGAATAAGAGACTTAAGGTTTGTAAAAGGCGATTCCTTCCCTTCAAAGTTTCTATTATTTCTCTCTTTCCAAATACACCACCAAACACAGTGTGGGGTGACCCTCCAAAAATCACGAGCATGACCAGAAACAAGGCAACTTCTCCAGGCGTTAATAAATTGGAAAGAGTGCTTAGGCATTACCCACTGAACGCCAAAAATACTAAATATGAGATTCCAACAATCAGATGCAACAGGATAAAGCATAAGAAGATGGTCCACGGACTCACCATCAGCTTTACAGAGACAACACCAGTTAATAATGGTATTACCTCTCTTACGCAGATTATCCAATGTTAGGATTTTTCCCTAGGTAGCAGTCCAAACAAAGAAGGCAACTCTAATAGGAGCTTTAGAGTGCCAAATACACTTCCATGGGAAATTATGCCCAATAAAATTAGACAAACACAAGAACATGGATTGAACTTTGTATCCACCATGAAGAGAGGGGGTCCACAAAATATCATCACAACCTCTGTTAACATCCTTTTGTCTATAGAACAGGTCCAAAAAGACGCAAACTTTTGCTATCTCCCAATCCTGAAAAGAACGCCTAAAACGCACATTCCACGTAACTCCACTGTTATCAAGATGATAACAGTCAATTACATAAGCATGCTTATTCTCGGCAATGCTAAAGAGACGAGGAAAGGAAAAAGACAACAACTGATCACCACACCATAAGTCTTCCCAAAATCTAATTCATACCATTACGAACCTTGAACCGAATATGGGTGGAAAACACATCCCTACCTTTCCGAATGAACTTCTAAACGCCAACGCCCCCAGTAATAGAAACAGGACGAGAGGACCAATCTCCACTCTCCTCCCCAAAACGACATGAGATAACTCTTCTCCGTTGTCGATGACGCTCTTTACCGAACCTCCATAACCACTTCCCTAATAAGGCTCTATTAAAAGGGACCAACTTCCGGATACCTAACCCGCCAAACTTCAACGGTTTGCAAACCTGCTCCCAATTAACGAGATGATACTTAAACTCCTCTCCTTTTCCACCCCAAAGAAAATCTCTCTGAATTTTTTCAATTCATTCAGCAACAGAGCACGGGATTTGAAACAGAGATAAGAAATATGTAGGAAGGGATGAGAGGGTGCTCTTAATAAGAGCGACCTTCCCCCCTTTCGAAAGATACTATTTTTTCCATCCCGCTAATCTTTTTTCATACCTGTTAATCACCGGATCCCAAGTCCCCACTCTAATGGAGGAGATTCCCGAGGGTAATCCCAGATAAGGGAGTGGAAAAACACCTACTCCACACCCAAGAACAGCAGCTAAAGAGGAAATATCGGAATCCTCCCCCACTGGGGCAAGCACACTCTTTCCAACATTAATCTTAAGACCAGACACTGCTTGGAAGCATGTAAGAATGCACCTCAAATACCTAAGTTGGGAAGCATCAACATCACAGAAAACCAAGGTATCATCTGCAAACAACAAATGGGATATCTCAATCTGGTTAACAACATCTCCGCCAACAGTGAACCCCCTTATGTACCCCAAATCCTCTGCCTTTTTCATTAATTTACTCAATCCCTCCATGACAATAAGGAAAAGAATGGACGACAAATGATCTCCTTGTCTCAAACCACGCGAGCTCGGAAAAAAACCAGCAGGAGAGCCGTTCACAAGCACAGAGAACATAACTGACGAAATGCAAGATTCAATCCATTTTATCCATCGATCCCCAAACCCCATTCTCCGAAGCAAGTAAAGAAGAAATTTCCAATTCACGTGATCATAAGCTTTCTCAATGTCAAGTTTGCATACCAGGAACTTCACTTTTCAACCTGGAGTCGACACATTCTCTTGCGATAAGAACGGAGTCTAAAATCTGTCTACCATCAACAAAAGCATTTTGTGACTCTGAGATAATTCCATCCAAAACATTTCGCATTTTAAGAACAAGGACCTTGGCAATAAGCTTATACATGCACCCCACTAGACTGATTGGCCGGAAGTCCTTAATGTCAAAAGCGTTACCCTTCTTAGGAATAAGAGCAATGAAAGACGCATTTAATGATTTCTCAAAAGTGCCATGAGAATGAAATTCCTGAAAAGTGCCCATTACCTCATTATGCACCACCTCCCAGTGAATCCGTCTGGCGCTGGAGCTTTATCACCATTACAACTGGATAACGCCTCGAGAACTTCCTCTTCAGAGAACGGAACCTCAAGCATATCACTATCCAGCGTAGAAATAGCATTGAAATGCAAACCATCAAGTTTTGGTCTCCACTCCAAAGTCTAGGCATAGAGCTGCTGATAAAAAGAAACAATACCCCCACGCACCTCATCTTCTTTCTGCAACTCTAAACCATTCACATGAATACGCCCAATGTTATTGTATCTTCTATGAGCGTTAGCAAGCCTGTGAAAGAATTTAGTATTGCGGTCACCTTCTTTAAGCCACAAAGCCCGAGATTTCTAACGCCACGAAATCTCCTCCATAGTAGCAATCTCAGCAAAAGTCGCCTGACAAGACACTCTTCGAGAGCGAAGAGATTCCGTGACTTGCCCTGTCTCATCAAGACGATCAATCTCAGCACTGACAAGACACTCTTCGAGAGCGAAGAGATTCCGTGACTTGCCCTGTCTCATCAAGACGATCAAGATTCCCAAACACTTCTTTGTTCTACTTCTTATGCTCAAATTTGAGAATCTGAAACTTCTTAGCAAGCACATAGCTAGTAGAGCCAGTAAACACTGCTTTCTCTCACCAGAACTGGACCTTACCTTGGAAGTCCTCAGCTCTCAACCACATATTTTCGAAACGAAATGGAGTCCGTCTAGATCTCATACCTCCACAATCAAGAACTAAGGGCACATGATCAGACGTGACTCTAACCAAAGCTGCCTAAGTGACATCCGGGAACTTCTCCTCCCAATCTCCAGAAATCAAGAATCTGTCGAGCCTCGATAAAGTAATTGATTCTCTGCCGCTAGACCAAGTGAAAGTTGCCCCTTCCAAAGGCAAATCAATAAGAAGGTGACCATCAATAAAATTGGAGAACTGGGTCATCTCCGAAGACCACCTCCCCCCTGTGGATCTCTCAAATGGAGACCGAACAGAATTGAAATCCCCGCCTAAGCACCAAGGCAACGACCACAATTCCTTAATGTAGCTAAGTTCTTGCCAAAAAACAAGTCTATCACAATCAATAACGGGTCCATAAACTCTAGAAAAGACCCAACTGAAATTATCATCTTCCATCTGAAACACACATGACAAAGAAAAAAGCCCTTTCCAGATATTCGTTCTGGACATCCATTTACGATCCCACATAATAAGAATGCCACCCGATGTCCAGAGGCGTTCAAGGCTTCCCAATCCACGAACCTACTTCCCCAAAGGCTTCTTTTTCAGTACAATGAACATAAAGAATTCTATTTTTCCACCTATTCTTTGTCAATTCTGAAACAAAAATAAAGAAAGACTTCATTTTTTTTTCCATTGTTCTTTCTATCTCATTTTGTTCTGTTTTTTTAACCAAAGTAAACTTTTCAACTAAATTGCTCAAATAATTAGGCAAATAAATTGTACTTTTCTCTCTATACTAGGCTTTACTTTAATTTCTTCTTTACGTTTTTGCATGATTGTTATGGTGATTTTTTGTTGAAGTCAAGAAACTGATATTTATTATATGTCACGTGTCCTAGTACTTTTAATGTTAATTAATTTCGTTGGTGTGTCTGAATTGGTTATTTAGCCTTACATTCTATTTATATTGAAATTTTTTGATTTAGAAAGTTAGTTTGAATTACTTTTCTAATAGTTTCATAGAATCTTACGATTCTCGATCCGATCCTACGATTCCAATCCTATGAACCCCTCATCGATCCTACGTAGAATCCCGATTCTAACAACCTTGGTGTAGGCTTGTGGAAGAACATCCTGAAGGGTTGGAGGGTCAAATGGATAAAGTACTTATTTGTCACTGTGTCTTCTTGTTGATGTAAACAATGACTTGTCTTGAGAGGCAGCTCGCCACCATGTCTTCTTGTTGATGTAAACAATGACTTGTCTTGACATGCAGCCAGATTTGAAGAGAGTTACTAAGGATATAGGGTCATTACCTAATGTAGTCCCCGTTAATCGTGGGTGCTGGAGGGGTATACACAAAATGGTTGTTCTTAGGATTTGGACCTACATTGCTTGATAGCCGTAGCATTTTACCACTGATTTAAGAGGATATTAATGGTGTAAATATTGATAATACTATAATACAAACCACCTTGCTTCGTGGGTCATTAATATGTAATGCTTCACATCTGTATAAGGAAGCTAAATCTGTATTACATGGACAATGTGGGGATAAGTTTTTTAGCACAATTTATTTATTTATATTTTTGTTTTGGTTTCTCTTTACTTGAAACATCAGTACACTTATTTTATTGTCCGTGGTAAATATTCTCTAATTGTGCACAAACTGGTCAGGGTGCGGGTAAATCAGCTGTTTTGAACAGTCTAATTGGACATCCTGCTTTGGTAAGTTTTTTCCATTTTGAGCTCAGCATTCTCTTGAAAATGTTTATGATAATTTTTTTTTTTTTTTTTTTAAATCAAAATTTTTTTTATTCTAATATTTTCTTCTGTTATGACCTTTTTTTGTACAGCCAACTGGTGAAGGTGGGGCTACTCGTGCTCCCATATGCATTGATTTAGCAAGGGATAGTTCATTAAGCAGCAAATCAATTATCTTGCAGATTGATAGTAAATCTCAATCGGTTTCTGCAAGTGAGGCCTCTTACAAAATTGTCATCCATATGTTTGTGACTAAGAGTTTTTTCAAATTTATTAATTTATTACAAGATACCTGTCATGGTCTTCTGATGACTCTGGTCTTGTCATTTGTCTTCTCGGTCCATCATAGGTGCTCTTCGGCATTTTTTACAGGAGAGGCTAAGCAAAAGTTCAGGCAAGAGTCATGATGAAATAGTTTTGAAGCTTCGTACAAATACAGGTTAGTCTGGATCTAACTGTTCTGTTTCTTTTGTAAGTGGAAAAATTGGTTTTAACTGTCTATGCTTCTTCCTTCACCTTTCCCTACATGACAGTCAATCTAAATGGAGGGAAAATTAGAAATATGTACCTACTCCAAAAGGAAGGATGTTTAGCAACAAAAAATATTTTTTGTCAAGAGAAAAGGGAAGATTGTAAGAAAAATAGGATTGTAGAAGGCATATTTTTTTATACGAATTGTGACCATTTGCAATTAATGTAACATAGTTCATCAGATTTCATCTAAGGTTGTGTTGCCCTAATGTGTTTTGAATATTTGATATCCTTTATTGTAACTGTTGTGTGTGGACCTGAATTGTAATGTTGATACTATATGATTGGATGAACAAAATGCTTGTTTTTATGAGGGATTAAATGGCAGACAACATCTTATTATTGTTAATTTTTTTTGGTAAATAAATAAAATGGCAACTGGTATCATTTAAACATACTTTCCAAAAAGTAGCATGAAGGCTTTGCTATAAAAAGAGAGCACAACATACTAATCAGATTGGAATTATCACTTGATCAACATAGTTAAACTACTTAAATCAAACATTACAGTCACAGAATTATGGTCAGGAGTTCATAGTCAATTTTATACATAAATATTGTATACATATTCTTTAGGGAATGATGTGTAATAGAAAAGATTGCAGTTAGAGAATTCATGTGGCTGACCCCATTCATTTTTTTTTTTGATAAGTAAAATAAATTAATTTTCTAATGGAAATGTACCAAATAAGGGGAGACCAGTGTAGCAAGAACCACAGCTCTGGTTTAATTTTCTAATGAAAATGTACCAAATATGAATGTGGCCGACCCCATTCATAGTGGATTAAGTTAGGAATGATGACGATGAGGGAATACATATGCTTGGATTTGTTTGAAACTTTTAAGAAGTAAGTTGGTGAATTTGTTTTCCCAGTTACAAGCCCGTCTACCAATTTTTAATGTAAGTTAGTAAGTTAAATGGTATCCATTTGCAGTCCCACCCAACGCTATCAAATGCTGCCGTCTTATGTACTTTATATATTTTATTGTAACGATGGGAAGTCCATAAGTCATAGTTACAAGTCTATTAAGTCGTGAATTAAGATTTTTTGTAGGAACTACTATTCCAAATTTTTTTTTTTTGATAAGTAAGATTGTATTAAAAAGCATTCAAAAGGTGGCTGCATCCCACGAGAACTACACAAGGCCAGATGGGGCCTTTAAACTCTTAAGATTTTTTGTAGGAATTATTATTCCATTATGATGCAAGTCTAAAAGTCATATGGTTATGAGTAGGAACTACCATGAAAGAGTTTAATCTTTGACTTTGTCAATGGTTGCATCAATGGATGAACCTTCCAGAACTTTTTTGCGTGTGAGAGGTGTGACACCTTCTTTAGGTGGTCGTACATTACTACAATCTGACTTCAAACTTCAGGCCCATACTATCTTAAATTTCATCCGCTAAAACCTTTAACTTGCAGCTATCTGAGATTTCTTCTAAAGTAATACATCATCCATTGGATGTTCTCAATCCTCGACACAATCTTTATTTTACCCTGTAGTTTTTCCGCATAGATATTGGTGCTTTTAGAGGTACATGTTCATAGAATAAGTTACAGAAGTACATGTGCACACAACCACGTCCACACACACAGATATTGAGCCCATTCCTATCTCATACTTGAAAGTCACTCGCCATGACACTGATAAGGAGCAATTGCAATGATGGTTTCACAATCATCTCAACTTATCCTCGATCCAGTTCTATTCTTTTCAGATAGAGAGTCCAACCTCTATCACTGAATACGAACCGATTTATGATAATTTAATATCGGTGATTTATATCACCTGTGCATGAATACCCATCATCCGCATATAAATCACATTGCATAGTCAAAGAGACAACCTCGATCCATCTCATGAACTGATCAAGACAAGCATTCACCATATATGTATGCAAAACATTTAATTAACACAAATTTGGTTAATAACAAATGTCAACTACAATCCATTCTGTGCTATGAAGGGCACATAATCCCTACATTCAATTCTTGCAAAATTGGGATCAGCAAACCTGTTTGCCCGACTTTATAAAGTAGACAAACTTACGTTTTTAAAAGTAAATGCATTTGCAGTTTGTTAAGCAATCTTTTTTTTTTTTTTTTCATAGAATGGATGCCTACTGCCTCCATTTAATATATAGTGTTTTACTTGAGTTAATAAGGGTGCGTGGATTAATAATTTGGGGCTGGGGATTCGTGGTGCTTTCTATAGTTTTTTTATTTTATCTGTGGAAAGCAACATTCTTTTTGGATCATAATTTGACTCCAATTTTAGGAGATAAACTTCTGCTATAAAATGGAGAGCTGTATATCTTAATGGGGGATGTTGTTTGCAAATCTACTTACAATTTACAAGAACTTGAGCAAAAAAAAAAAAGGGTCAAAAACCAAGAATACCACACCACCATCATCACTTTAATGTGATTTTAACATTCATCTTCCTCCAGCCTTGCAATCACACCCCTGCTGCTGTGACCAATTATGACCGGTGGATCCTGGCACGAATTATTTATCCAGTGACACAATGATCTTGTCAATCATGATACATTTTCATCTTTGTCATTGCACTGCAGCCATTTAACACTGTAGCCCATAAATGTTCAGGGATTACATACTTTCAATCCAGAAATTTCCATTTATTTAAATTGAAAAATTAGGGGCCATGTCGAAATTCTCGAACCAAATGCACCTAAAATTATTGATAACAACTTGTTTGGCCCAAAATCTGTTTTAGTAGGCAAACCAAAGCGTTGCTATCCCTAGAAAAAAATGTGAACAGTATCTAAAATTATAGACTTACAGTAGTGTTCAAATGCTATTTTACTTGCTTTATATGGAACGACTGATTGAAATAGACTTAAAGTTTCATTTGCTCGTATTTTTCTTTACTTCTTTCTTTCTTTCCTTCCTTTTTTTTTTTTTTATATATATATTATATATTTTTTTCCAGCTCCTCCATTGAAGTTGATTGATTTGCCTGGAGTGGATAAAGGAAATCTTGATGATTCACTGGTAAGTGCTGCTAATCAGATTCTCTTTGTTTTCAAATTTTACTTTTAATTAATGATTCATAGAAGGATTTTGTTAGATAATTCTTCATGCATGGATTCACTTTTAATGCTTTCTTGGAAGGAGATTTAATTGCACAATCTTCCCTACAGAGTCAGTATGTTGAACACAATGATGCAATATTGCTGATTATAATACCTGCTGCCCAAGCACCGGAAATTTCCTCCTCTAAAGCCCTAAGAATTGCCAAGGAATATGATGGAGAATGTGGGTGTACTGTAGAACTCTGATATTTTCTTGTACTTACAAAAATAATTTTAGTATATTGTGTTTTGCAAATGTTTTGTTATTTTTTTTTCTTTTTCTTTGAAATCCTTTCTTTTTTCTTTTTATTTTTTAAATACAAGGAGTAAATTAGCATTAAATATTCATTACAGGTACCCGAACTATTGGTGTTATAAGTAAAATAGATCAAGCAGCGTCTGATCCGAAAACCCTTGCGGCTGTTCAGGCTCTTCTTCTGAATCAAGGACCACGAAGTACATCTGATATTCAGTGGGTTGCTTTGATAGGTCAAACTGTTTCTATAGCTTCTGCACAGTCGGGAAATGTTGGGTCTGAGAGCTCTTTAGAAACTGCTTGGCGAGCTGAGAGTGAAAGCCTTAAATCTATATTAACAGGAGCTCCACAAAGCAAGCTTGGTAGAGTAGCTTTGGTAGAGACCCTTGCTCACCAGATACGTAACCGTATGAAAGTCAGGCTTCCAAATCTCCTCTCAGGGTACTTATTTTTTTTCTAGCTAATGCTTGACCTTTGATTCCCATTTATGTCCATTAAAATCCTACTACTAATTTTGCCCACTAAATTGGTTTTATGTGTTTACTTTGTTGTTCTCCTTGGTGTTGCCACCTATGTATTTCATTTGGTTAGACGTGGCTATCTTTAGATATAACTTACCATTGGAGGTTTTAGAAGTAAAACTTTCCTTCTTTCTTATGTTTGGTGGGGTTCTGGTTGATGTGTGTCGTGATACTTGTTTATTAATTGGTTGTGTTACTGGATTCCTGAGTTAGCTGGTCTGCAATGGAGTCAACAAGTCATGAATTTTACTATGCTCTATGCGTCTTGCCATGAATCTTTTTCCTGGTTGAAAAGAAAAACTTGAATTCATGGGAAGGAAGGAGGTAATGTTTTTTGAAAGAAAAAAGGGTAAAGAGCCCATAACTAATGTAACAAGAACCATACTACTACCACTGCTTCTACATTCATCCCTGCCAGGTGCTTCCCTTGTGCTGAGAGTTGGTCCCTAAACTGGCAGATCTATGAAGTGAATAGATGTACATGCTACTTCCCTTAGTGAGTTCCAAAACTTTTTCTAGGTAAAAGTATATCCATGGACTAATCAGATTTGGCTGACTCGTTAAATCATAATTGAGGATTCACTGACTCACCCAGAGAAAGCGTTCAGCCTTCTGTCAATGGTCTGGAAGAAGGAGATTTGCTAAGCTGAAGGACCAGTTGAAGTAGGCCAAGATAAATGATGATGTTTGGAGGTTGTTATTTCAACCTAAACCGTTGCTTCTTTATGCCCTGTGTTACTAAAATTAAAACCAGCCACATTGATCTTCATTTCTAGAGGTAGATGGGAGCTTTTAATGCTATTGATTTTAGCTTATATGCTCTATTTGGCAGGATGAATGGAAACAGAGGTGGAAAAGGTTACCTTATAGAAAGGGACCCATCTTTGCTTCCATCTGTTTGGTGTAGGAAGGAAAAAAGGAAGAAAGTGTTTGTTGAAAAGCAAAATTTAAAAGAAAAGTTCTTGCTTTCCATTCTCTTTTCTGTCTACTTTTTGGGCAGAAAAGAAATGGTAGGGTCATAAGGAAACTCTCCTCTCGTTTTTCGCCTTCCCTTTCCTTCCTAACAAAAGATGGAAACTCTTTGTTCCTCCTACCCCCTTTTTCTTTTAGCAGATGAGCATTGCAGATGTTTGAGTTAGCCAGTTGTGTACTATAGGCAGAACACATCATGAAGAACATGTTTTCTGTACATTCATGGTAGGCTTTTGTTCTCTCCGTAGGATAGAGTGATATTTTGTCCCTGTTTTAAACAATAGTTTCAGTTATCCATAGAGTTCTGCTCTCAATGTTCTTGTATGCATGATTTCTACATACCTCCATTAAGACTCTAATTCATTTAATTTTTCACTACTCCTCCAGGCTCCAGGGTAAGTCTCAAATTGTGCAGGATGAATTGGTAAGGCTTGGTGAACAAATGGTTAATAGTGCTGAAGGTACAAGAGCTTTGGCTTTGGAGCTTTGCCGTGAATTTGAGGATAAATTTCTCCAACACATTATGACTGGTGAGGTAAGAACTTTAGAAGAAAAAATAAGACTCATGCATGTTTTATATTTAATTAATGAAGAAGATCATCACAAAAATTATGAAGAACAATTTTAATAGTTCATTATGACTAGCAATGACCTCCAGAATGCTGATATTCAGAAGCTGATAATTATTGCACTCTGGTTTTATTATTTCTTTGCCTATGCTGATATCCAAAAACTGCTAATTATTGCACTCTGGTTTTATTATTTATTTGCCGTATGTTGATTCAGTGGCGGGTATTTTTAAAATCTTCCTCCAACTCTCCCCAAAGTGATAAATTTTGTATATTACAAGAACTAACGAATCAATTAATATGTACACAATTATAACCTGTTTCAGCGTTGTGAGCATTGGATAAAAGGTGGTTGTGCGTCGTGCATGTAGTGCCTAGCTTGCTGAATTTTTCTTAACATCTTAATGATGGAGCTCTGATAATTCTACATTTATAATGTGAATAAGGCATTCAGTAACATTTTGACAGATTTGATTGCATGATTATTACATGACAATGGAGATTTTGTGAGTTCTTGCTTCTTAATCTGCTTGCATACACGAGACATATATTGAGTTTTCCTTTATGCTATGTTTGGTTGGAAGGAAGGATTGAGGAGGAATGGAGGGGGGGAGGGGGGGTGTGGAGGGATGATGCTTCTCATGCTTGGTTGGAGGGATGGGAAAAGAGGTAGGAAGCAAGGAGGGATGGCTTGTTGCTTTTTTACCATCCAAAATTGGGTGGAAGAGAGGAGGGAAAGAAAGAATAATTAACCCAAACAAAGGTAATACCAATTTTAACCTTTAGTTATTTACTAAATAACTTGTTAAACCGTACTGAAATTATCTCAGGCATAATGAGGGTATGTTGGTAAAAAAATATATAATAACTCTCATTTCCTTCTTTCCAACCTATAGCACAAAAAAGTTGTCACCGCATCCGTCCTTTCTTCTATCCCTTCTTTCAACCAAGCCAAAAGTGAGGAAGGCATCTTCCCTTCCCTAGGGATGCCTCATCTATCTCTCCTTCTTTCCCTTCCATCCTTCCAAGCAAACGGAGCATCAAGTTCATACTGGTTTTGTATTATAAAGTTGTACCAACGGGCCAGTGGTCTAGCGGTATCAGCCTCTTACTTTTCAAAGGGAGGTCAGGGGTTCAAGTCTCAAAAGAGACAGGTGTGTGTGAGTACCAACTACATAGTTGTTAAAGGCTCAAGGCACACAAAAGCGCAAATGCCTCCTAGAGCCTGAAGCGCAAGGCGCAAGGCGAGGTGCACGCTTGACTGAAGCAAGGCACACGTTGAAAAAAAAAAATCAAAACCCACCTATGTGACAGGACTTATTAATATACCTTGGGCTCAATCCCTAAACTCATGGTTAATCAGACAATACAAGCCTATTCATCCATTAATATTTAATATAGATAATACACATTATGAATTCTTTTTAAGTATTTTTTTTATTGCTATAGCAACTAAGTGACATGACTTATTACAACCTCGGGCTCAATCCCTAAACTCATGGTCAATCCAAAACTGAGACAACATATACAATCCAATTCATCCATTAATATAGACAATACTCCAAGCAAGTAATAATTAATTATTTGTACTAATTGAAATGTGTTAAACAAAAATGTAAATCCAAGAGAATTGCATCCTCTTTACAGTTTACAACAATAACAAACTCAAGTTTTCCCCAAAAAAAAAAAAAAAAACTAATTTCATTATGAACTTCAGTCAGAAACTACTACAGTTGAAAGAACCCTCGGACACTGAAAGAACCCAAAACCAGAGGTGACGTATTAAACACTAGACACTAGACATATTAAATTTGAGATTTTTTGAATTTGAGATTGAAATAAAACTCAAGAAAAAAAAATAAAATAAAAAAATAAAAAGCAGAAGAAAAAGAAGAATAAAACTGGAGAAAAAAAAAAAATAATAATAAATAAATAAATAAAAAGAAGAAGAAAAATAAAAAAAAAAAATCTGCCAGACTCTCGAGAGAGCCGAGACTCGAGAGAAGAAGAAGAAAAAGAAGAGGAGAAGAAGAAGAAAAGAAGAAAAAAAAAATCTGAGCAGATCCAAGAAGAGAAGGAGGAGGGAAGAAGAAGAGAAGAAGGAGAGAAGAAGAAGAGAAGAAGAAGAGAGAGAAGAACTTACCTGCTGGCCGAGCCGCCGACGCAGATCCGAGAGTCTGAGTGCCGCAGCGAGCCTCTGTCTTCTACTCTTCTTTCCTTTTCTTTTTTGCTTCTCTCTCTCTTTTTTTTTTTTGTCTTTTATGTTGTAACTTGTAGGCATTCTATTATATTGACTAATAAAATAATAATATTCTATTATACATAAACAATAAACAAAGTTACAAAACCAAAAAAAAAAAAAAAAAAGAAGAAGTAAAAAGCGATTTTTTCAAGCAGGCGCGCCTTTAGCGCACCTGTAGCCTGGCGCCTTGGTGGGAAAGGTGCACGCCTTAAATAACTCAGCCGCCTTAAGTGTACTCAAGGCAACAACAGGGCGCCTGGAGGCGCCTTTGACAACTATGACCAACTAGGAAAAAAAAAAAAAAAAAAAAACTAGAAAAACGATATGCAAAGGCTACTTCCATGTTTTATCCGCTAAAAGAAGTGTGCACAGCTTGCACAAGTGAAGATATGTGATATTTAGTGCTGTGTTTGGCAGATGGAATACTGTAGTCTAAACAAGATGGAGGTTTAATCATACAAAATTTGTTTGATCTTTAAAGAGATGCAGTATAGGGGGAACTCATGAGATGATTAAGGGGGATTTTGCATCCATCAAGAGTATGCAGATGTTCATGACGAATGATCTTGGCAGCTTTGAAATTTTTGTGTTGGATTATTCAATGGTGGGTGACTGGAGCTAAGAACAATAAGCTTTGATGGATTTCGGAAGGAGGTTCCTGGCAGTTTTCTGTTTAAAGCTGTTTTGGTTAACGCCGAACCTGCGGCTGATTTTCAATCCAAACTATAAACAAACCTTATCAAAGCCAGTGCATGAAATCCCACAAGGCCCTAATTGGGAAACTTGCATCCTTTCAGGAAACTTGCAGCGTAACGTAGGCCCTCACAAGCTTTGTAGAAGCACAAGCCGCCTTGATCACTTGCGCAGCAGTAGCGCTTTGAAGGAATTCCTTTCGCGGCGTTCAGAACCAGTTTTGTAGTGAATGAATTAGAAAGAACGAAGAAGTAAGGAAATGAGACGGAAGCCGCTGTTCCGGTGAGATCTGATCCTGCAATCCATTCATCTCCTTATATTCCTCTAGCCGGTGATAGGAAGGTTGGTCTCTCGAGCCTACATTTTGATATACTGAAACTCTCTTTTCTCGACCTTCTGTGGACCTTGCTACCCTTAAAGGGAAATTAGTGCCTTTTCCCGCAGGAACATCCACAATAGATCCAGTGCGCTTGACAAGATCACCTTCTTTAATAGCAGTATCACTACCAAAGACAACAATCCCTACATTCTTACTTATGGTCCCCTCTGGCAATGCATCTCTACCCCTCAAAGTTGCCTTTTTCCGCTTGGACAATGGTGGGAAACAAGTATAACAGATCATATATGTAATAAGAGGTCGAGTTGCATTATCATAATTTTATTTATATATTCATTTAGTTTCTTATGTTCAAGTTCGAGGTGTATGGTATGTTTTCTCCACTTGTAGGGCATTGGGTCAATCCTTCATGAGTGGTTAACCTTTGTAAGGTGGTGGACATTTGTTGAGAGATGGCGTGCATGAGAACTGGCAGTGGGCCGCTTTCTTGTGATGTGGTGCTAATGAAAGGAATGATGTGGGAAGACAACTTTCTATTCTGAAGTTTAAAGAAATGTTTTAAAAATCCTTATTTCTTTGGGGATTAAACTGTTGCTGAGTTTGTAGACGTGTTTATCTATTTCTAAGAGAGGTTGGGGGTTGTTTTTGCCTTGGATCTGGTCGCTTCAGCTTTCTGTGTATTGGGGCCTTGCTCATGTTAATTACTTCTAATTGTAAAGAGTCATGTTGTGCTTTAATTTATTCTGTTGTTCAGGAACTGTTTGCCTGTTTCACAATACAATAATATGGCTGTGTGATCCATTAATTGTGTGTCAGTGCTGTTATGATTTTGAAGGTGTTGCACTTCTTTCTTTGAAGTTTGAAGTTAACGTACGAAGGGCTTAAGGCAATGGCAAGCATTGAATGTTGTTTATGTTCTTTTATGTAAGATGGAAAATGGATTTTGGCTCAATTGCTCATTTTTAGTTGCTGACATGCTGTTATAAATATTTATTGCAGGGTGGTGGTTGGAAAGTTGTTGCGAGTTTTGAGGGCAACTTTCCTAACAGGATCAAACAACTGCCCTTAGACAGACATTTTGACATCAACAATGTCAAAAGGGTATACCATCTTTTTTAGTGCAGCTCAATTGCTCGAATAGATGTCCTTTATTTGAAATTTGTTCCTTTGTTGTTCTTTGCTTTTATGATGACACTCCTTAAGTGTTATTAGATTGTGCTAGAAGCAGATGGTTATCAACCTTATCTTATATCTCCAGAGAAAGGGCTGAGGTCTTTAATAAAAGGTGTTCTTGAGCTGGCAAAAGAACCTTCACGCCTCTGTGTTGATGAGGTAAAACTAAATAATACATTCTTAATTCTTTTTTTCTTGTGTGTGTGTGTGTGTGTGTGTTTGTTTAAACCTTGCATTTTTTTTGTTCTTTGGATGCTTTTGGAACTTCTATTTTTTTTATTTTTATTAGTGCTTTTGGAAGTTCTATCCCCTACTTTCATTTGTTTTTTGAGCATGGAAGTTTGGACCCTTATCGATTTGTGCGTATTTTATTATTAATGGTCGTGAACTTTTGATTTTCCCATTTTTTTCTCTAGAAGTTTTTGCTCCACGTAGAGCTTTGAAAGTTCGCTGGACCGGAACCCGAGGCTATGATAGAGAGTCGTGCAAGGTCCGTGATCTAGTCCGAGAGAGAGAAGAAGGGGGGGGGGGGGTGAATAGGTCTTGTTGGTTGGATTACCAAATTTTCACTACTTTTTTATTTTCATCAATATTCAAATTATAACAGAAATTTAAATCTACTCAATTGATCATCCAAACATGCAATAAACAATTAAAGCAGTAAAACAATGTACACAGATTGTAACATGGAAAACCAATCAGGACAACTACGAGACTTAGTCCAGGCAAACCAAATCCAAGACAGAGATTTAAAACCTAATGAAAGTACAAAGAATTTCCCCTTTTACGGAGAGAGAACTTCTTCACTCCAATTGTCTTTTTCCCTCTCGATTTCCCTTATTTATAGACGGTTACAACCTCCTTTGGCCTGGGCCTTATCTACTTCCCTTTGCCTGGACTCAACTTCCCTCATTTTAACATGGGCTTCTGAAATGACTTTATGGACCTGGGCCCATACCCGCGAACTTGCTCCATCTCGTTTGTCCACACCCGTCCTCTGCAATGCGGATCACACCAAACCCGGGTCATTTCGGTGTCCTCATTTGCCCCCAATAATCTCTTTCCTCATTAATGAGGGTGAGATTATTGAAAGGACATGATCTTGGTTTGACGGCTTGGAGCAATGACTCGAGGAATCGAACGGCTGGCACAAAAACCCAAGTTTCGAGATCTGCAGCGCCACTTTTTGCCTTAACCTTTTGAGTTCCATGTTTACTTCTCCTCTTTATAAATTCTGGTCTTTCAACCTTCATCCTTCCTCTTACCTCTCGCTTCTACTCTCTGTTGCTTTCCTGCACATTCCGGCGATCCTTTTCAATTTCTCCGACAAGTCCTTCCTTTTCGATTTTCAGCTACTGTGCCGTTGCTGAGTTCATCACAAACTTTCAAGGTTAGTTTTTTTTTTTAAAATCTCCCTTTAAAAAACGCCTTTACTGCCTAGGACTCTTTCCCTTATTTATGGCTTTTCCTAACCTGAACGCCATTCGATCCAAGAATCACATTCCTCGCGACGTTTCTCTCAGAGTCTACCCAATAAACTTAGACGAGAGATCTGGTGAGGGTCTTCTTCCTGGGGAAGTTTTATTCTCCGCCGTTCACTTGAACATCATTAGGTTCCCCCTACACCCGTTCTTTTGTTATGCTTTCAACAAATTGGGGCTCTGCCCCCTACAAGTTAACCCAAACTTTCTTAGGGTAATTTCAGTCCTCCTACTCTTGAATCGTGATAGGGGTCTCAATCTTGACATTATTGACCTTCTCCTCTGCTATCGGATTAACAAGATTTCACAAAATGATTTGTACTATCACTTCTTTCCTATTGACAAACAGTCGATCTGTTATGATAAAAACCTATTTGAGAAAGGTTGGAGACGAAATTTAATCGTGGTTGGTGGGAATTGGCAGACTCCGCTCGGCCAATCCTTCACTGTCCCTTCTTCTTTTGGAGCATGTTCTATCTCTTACTACAAAAAGCTGAAAACACATCCTACCGAATGCCACTGTGAAAGTTGTTTTCCCCGTTTTTGCACTTTTTTTTGTAGATGCCTTCAAATTCCCCATGATGAAATAGTTTATAGCGTTTGCAGGGCTAGGCTAGATACCTTGCAAGAAAGTGTGCCGAACGATGTCCCTTAAGCTATTGATTTGCTTACATCTGATAATCTCTCTGACATCTCTCTTTTAGGGTCTACAATGGAGAACATTCAGATCCCATCGTTGAGCAGGAGGAGGCGTCCTGCTCCCACCCCTTCTAGCGCTCCTGCTATCACATCATCATCACCTACACCTGCTCCCACGTCATCTTTCCTTGCTGTCTCTGCCCTAGAGCAAGTTGCGATTGCCCCAGCTGTGATTCAAGTCTCAAACCGTTCTGCTGATGCGCCCTCTGAGCTCACCCATGCTGAGAACCCTATTGTGGGCCATACTGCTTAGATTCGTCCTGCTGCCCCCGTCATTATGCCTTCAAACATCTCGTCCGACACTTCCTCAGAGAGCACTCAGGATGCTGGAAATTCTGAAGACAATGGGGGGCCAGCTAATGCTGGTCTGTCAGAAAAGAGTTTAGGAAAAAGGCCAATGCCTGAGGGCGGTCATGATCAGAGTGATATCCCACCGACCCAAAGGATCAGGACGGCTTCCTTCAGGGTTACTGAACCATCGCCCCCTGCTCGGTTCTTCATTCCTGAAGGCGAGTCGGCCAGAACCTCTGGTCCAATTCCATCCGTTCTTCCATGGCAACCTTTGTTCAGCCGTGAAGATGGATCAACCATTGGCCCCACTGACTCAATATACAAGGATCCTCTCACCTCATTTGCTTTCTACAAGGGTTTCTGGACCCCCAAAGACCTTGAAATCCAGAACAAGCTATCCTTTGGTCAGATGTTCCAACGGTTCCCAACCGCTGCTATGGAGGTGACTCTTCTTTCTACTGAAATGTGTTCCTTTTCTGTTATGACTCCTTAGTAGTTAGTCTGACCTGAATTTCTTTTTCTTCATGCAGACTTTATTCGGGGTTTTCACTTTTCAAAAAACAATTGAAACTCTGAACAAAAAGCTTAAATCCCTCTCTGTGGGCCTTAAAAGGTCTGTTGAAGCAGAGAATCTTCTTGAGGCTAGAGTTGCTGAGCTGGAGTCTAAGCTTAGGGAGTCAGAGAAGGGAGTTGCTGACTTAAAGGCAGAGAGAGACGGTCTGGCAAACGAGAGGGATTCCCTCAGAGTTGAACGGGATTCCCTGAAGACCGAACGGGATTCTCTTCACGATGAGGTTGATATCCTGAAAACTGAGAAGAGTGTGGCTCTGACAGAAAGGGACTCTCTCAAAGCCGAAAAGGGAGACCTTCAGCGCTCATTCATTGCTGAACGGTTGTCTCATGTGAACTCCCAGGAAAAACTCCTAAACGAACGGTCTTCCCTGATGAACATGATTGGCAGAGTTGAAGGGGGTATGAAAGCTCTCCTTGCTCGCTTTACCAGGACCAGTGCCATCCGGTATGCTGAAGGGTACAGAGACGGTTTTGTTGACCGTTCTCCCCCTGAAGGTGAATCAAGCTCTTGTGCTGGTCCTGATGAACTGGATGCTTCTCTGGACATCCACCCCCCAAATAATTATCAAAATCCACCATGCGACCCGGCTGAAAATATTTTTATTGAGTGCATAGAGGTCACATCCTCAGGAATTGTCCCACCCTTTCATCCCCTGAATATTCTTCCCCTTTCTACCATTGTGCCCTCCTCCTCAGTTACTGCCGACAGACCTATGCCTGCCGTGGGGGTGATTCATTTTGACTCCCCTTCTAAGGATGATAGGGCAGATGAGAATGGAAAAGATCTCAATGGTCCAGAGGAAGATGGTGGTGAGAATGACAGGTTGCAGGCTGGAGAAGATCATCAAAACTGACACCCAGTAGCAGCTTTTTTTTTTAAAAAAAAAAAAAAATCTGCATGTATCGTACTATGTACCTTGGGGCCTTTTTGGTAATGAATGATAATGCTTTTGCTCAGCATCACTTTCCTCCTTTGAGTTTTCTATTTTCAGCTTTGCAGTGTACTTTCACAAGTGGTTAACGTTCGGCCATCTCACCATTCTATCCTTTTCTTACTCATTTTTGAGCAAGTGTTTGGCGTTCGGCTTTAAGTGCCAGCTGCCACTAACTTTGCTGAATGCCTGGCGCTCGGCTTGAACGCCTCTTGCCACTTGGCTTTATTTTTGAGCAAGTGTTTGGCGTTCGGCTTTAAGTGCCAGCTGCCACTAGCTTGCTGAATGCCTGGCGCTCGGCTTGAACGCCTCTTGCCACTTGGCTTTATTTTTTGAGCAAGTGTTTAGCGTTCGGCTTTAAGTGCCAGCTGCCACTAGCTTGCTGAATGCCTGGCGCTCGGCTTGAACGCCTCTTGCCACTTGGTTTTTTTTTTTTTGAGCAAATGTTTGGCGTTCGGCTTTAAGTACCAGCTGCCAATAACTTGCTGAATGCCTGGCGCTCGGCTTGAACGCCTCTTGCCACTTGGCTTTATTTTTTGAGCAAGTGTTTGGCGTTCGGCTTTAAGTGCCAGCTGCCACTAACTTTGCTGAATGGGAAGAGTGTAAATTAAATTTTTAACAAAGGAGATTTTTTATAAAGCTTGGAAATTTCGTACACTTGCAAACATGCAATTTAGAGCGTACATATTGCTTGAAATTAAACTCTACTTTTACTGGTAGTACCTTTTCAGAGACGTAGCATTCCATGGCTTATTGACCACCCTTCCTGTCATAGTTTTTAGGACGTATGCCCCCTTCCCTATGACCTCTGCTATTCTGTATGGACCTTCCCATGGGGAGAACATCTTTTTGACTATTCCCACCTTCCTTTTCAGAACCAGATCGCCAATAGCGAAACCCCTGTGCCTCACCTTCTTGTTATGGCTATTCACAAGCGTCTGTTGATAAGAGGCAAGCCTCACTGCAGCCGCATCCCTTTTTTCCTCCAGCAAATCAAGATTGAACCTCAGCATTCTGTCATTCTGCTCTTGATCCCACGCCAAGCTCCTTACAGTTGGAACCAAATGCTCGACTGGTATCACCGTCTCGGTGCCATAGGTCATGGCGAATGGGCTCTCTCCAGTTGGCCGTCTTGGGGTTGTTCTGTAAGCCCACAAGACGTTCGGTAGCTCATCTAACCATT